GGCAGGAGCAGCATTGCACTGGGTGGAAGCTGCCGTGGACTGGCAGGTCATGAGGGTCTACCAGGCCAGTGCCGGCTCCCTCTGCCTGCATCCCCCCTGGCAAGAACCCATGGGTGAGCCCCACAGGGGTGCAGAGCAAGCCCCATAGGGCTTGTCCTGTCTGCCCTCCAGATCCATACGTCAAGGTGTCTCTGCTGTGTGACGGGCGAAGGCTGAAGAAGAAGAAGACCACCATAAAGAAGAACACACTGAACCCCATCTACAATGAGGCCATCATCTTTGACATCCCTCCGGAAAACATGGATCAAGTCAGCCTGCTCATATCTGTCATGGACTATGACCGGTAGGTGGGAGGGCTCCTGCCTGGAACCATTTGCCCCATCTCACTGCCCCATTCCACAGTGCAAGGTGGCAGGAGCACAAAACGTCCCTGCCTAGGCACTGCTCGCGGCACTGGAGCTCGCGGCACTGGAGCTCACGGCACATTCGCTCTCACCTGCAGTGTGGGCCACAATGAGGTCATCGGGATTTGCTGCGCTGGGACGGCTGCCGAGGGGCTGGGCCGTGACCACTGGAACGAGATGCTGGCATATCCACGCAAGCCTATTGCCCACTGGCACCCACTGGCCGAGGTGAAGAAATCCCTCAAGGAGGTGAGTGGGGATACTGCCGACCTGGCACGTGTCTGGCTGGGCTGGAGCATCCACACACGCCCAGAAGGACTTATGTCCCGAGCAGGGTTGAGCTTGAGGATCGAGCTGCTCCAGGCAGCCTGAAGGGTCTGCAGGAGGGGAGGGATCCTTTTCTTGCACATCTGCTTCTGCTCTATCTTCTTTTTATCTTCTTTTCCCTCCTATTTTTTTTTCCCAATTAAAGAATGAGAGTAGCAAAGGGGAGGATGCTTTTCTGATTGCAGAAAAGATCATCCAGGGTTATCATGTATTTGAAGATTTAATTTTCTTGTCCTAGAAGATTTTTTCTGTTGACTCATCCCTGAGCCTTTGAGAGTGCATAAATAGGATGGATATAATTGCTCCAAGTGTCTCCCGGAAAAGAGCCTCATCCGAGGCAGCCACGGGTGATGAAACAGGCCTGGCAGGCCTGGGTGACATTTCGACCATCTCTAGCATTTTCTTTCCCAATTTCCTCACACTTCTATGCAGTTATTTGCTTTTTGATGGGTGTAAGCCATCAGTTCTGGAGGAAAGAGCATTATTGATGCTTCTGTATAGTGATAAAACATCACTTGTGCCTTGGAGGGGTGATATGATACAGAGAATACCCCTGGGGGAGACACAAGTCAGGGCAAGACACAACATCCTCAAGTAATGGAAATCTAGAACCTGCAACCCACCTACATGGGGCCTCCGAGGTCTGTGAGTCCTGACCCAGGACCGGCCCCTGTGCTCTTCCCGTGCACAGGGACACTGGAGGAAGGTGTATGGATGGCTCACGCTCCAAACCAAGCACCGAAACCTCAGCTGAGCCGCCAGGCCTTCGGGAAAAGTCATATGAATCATTTCCACCTCCCCCACATAGTGCACAGGTCGGGAGCTCTGCAAAACAAAAATAATAATAATAAAAAAAGGGGGAAAAAAAAAAGAAAGAAAATGGCCTGTTCTGGCATGTCTGTGCCAGTTCCCGGGACTGCAATGCCCCAGAGTGAGGGAAGAAGCAGTGGGAGTGCTGCGTCTATCATTGCTGTGTGAAATGTCCATCATTTGTTTTGGGAATTTTAGAAAACATGAGGTTGAGATGGCGAGAGCTCAAGCTCTCAGTGGAAACCTGGGATTATGGTAACAGGCTTAATGCAGATCACGAAGGATTTATCATCCCCTGAGTATGGCAAGAAGTGGTTTCTGTGTCCACTCCCCCAGTGTGGTTTTCCAGTCCACAGAGGTGGTTCCTATGAGGCAGTGTTACCAAATCAGCAGGAACTGTGTAACTCTGCAACGATTCAGCATTGCAAAGCAAGTGAAACAGCAAGGGGGATGCAGGAGAGGACAGCTGGGGTGACTGCTGCTGGCAAAACCTGCACAGAGATATTCAGACAAGTCCCTTTCTGCAACCTGTGTTTCTCTCCTGCAGTGGCGTGGCCGGGCCGCGAGCACAGACAGCCAGGGCTCCTGCCCCTCTCCCAAGCCACCACTAACCCCGTGAGCAACTGCCATCGGGAGCCGGGACTGGGGCTGCCTGAGCTCCCGCTGCACTCTGTGCACGTCGCATCACAGCCAGGATTGCTGCCGGGATCTGCATTGCTGCCGGGATTGCTACTGGTCATAGCAGTACTGCTGGATGTTGCACTGCCTCCAGTGCCGCTGCCCAGTTGCCTTTGTGCCCTGCACCATTTGTGGCTCCACTCCCTGGCATGGCGGGTGAGCTGGAGCAGGGAGCTCAGGCTGTAAAATAGTTTGTAAAATTGTTTTCTATGGCCAGGACAGCTGGGAAGATGCAGATGTCCCTGGCTGCCAGGCAGCTGAAGCCGAGCTGCACAGAGGAGCAGTGTGTCCCCTGAGTCCTGTGTGCTCCTCTGCCCAGGAGCATCAGGGACAATGCCACTGTCTCCCTGAATGAGCAGCAGATCTCCATCCTGCAACCTGCTATGTTGATGGGGCTGCAGGGGCTGGGGGAGAGATGAACACAGCCAATGCCAGAAGAGAAAAGCTTCCGCATTTCTTCTGGAGCTGCAAGTGGCTCCACATGACCACGTTTCTCAGGCCCAGTTGCTGGGAGAAGGGAGGATGCCTGGCACCAGGTCCATCTCAACACAGCCAGCAACATCCCAAGAGAAGGGTTAAGATGGGAGGAACACGATGGGCATGGTGGCCCTCCAGGCATGTGGTAAGTCCATGGAGGTGGCTGCAACAATCCCAGGGAAACCTGGGAGAAGGGTGTTGCCAGCGCCAGACTTCTGGTGCATGTGTGTGCATATTCCTTCCAAAACCTCCCATTAACATGTATTTCTTGTGAGACCAGTGACCAAACACCCACCCTGTGCACACCTCGGTGCTCGGTCCGTTCACCTTGGCTGCCCCTGCTCCATAGGAGACAAGCAGCACAGGGAACAGCGCACCAACCTCTCCCCCGGAGGCAACCTTGCTCTCTATTCCTCTTTCTCCTGCTTTACTCCAGCAGTTCCAGGTCTCCTCATACTGCAACTTCCCTGGACTCATTCAGGCTTCGTTTTGCAAAGAAAAGAAAATGTCAGCTGCTTTTTGGACAAGGTCAATGTGCTCCAGGCTCTGGGATAAGTGGAGAGGCCTTGGGGAGCCGATGCTGCCCGAGAACATGCCCAGGACCACGAGAGCCCCAGAAACTGTTTTTTCCCCTGCGTTTTCCCCAGTGGTGTTTTGTAATTACCTTTTACAATTCTACAGCTATAGTTTAAAACAGTGTGTTAGTCACGCAAATATAGTTATAAACCTTGTGCTCCGTGTCATCTGGAGTTAAAATGTGGCATTTACAGCATGCCTATTTCAAGAGACTGGCAGAGATGACAATGAAAAATATGGATCATAAGGGGTGAGGAAGCCCTCGGGCTGGGTCAGTGCATCCCAGCACAGGTTCTGTTGCCTTGGGAACAGCTGGAGCCAAAAGTGACCTGCATTGGAATAAAATGCAGAACCATGGCCCAGGCATCAGATATGCAGACAATTTTTGGTTTGTTCACGGCACAAAGTGAGCGGCTTGCTGCTCATCTCCCACTGGCTATCACACATTGCTCCCCACAGCAAAATGAAGAAGAGGGGTTTTGCTACTGCAAGGGACAGAGGAAGAGCAGTAATGAACCGGGTTTAGTGGGGCAACCAGTGAGCCAGCACCACACTCACGCATTTCAGCAGAGCTGAAAAAAATGATGATTTCTGTTTGTTTTGACCCTGCCTCTGTGGAAACGGCATCAATTTTCTGCAATAATCACCATTCCCACAGTTGTGTATCCCCAGGTTGTGGGATATCTGCAGCAGGAAGCTGCTGTGCCTGGTCCGAGCTCCAGATGTGGGAGTCCCTCTTCCCAGGGCTTCTTGCTCTGGCTGGGGTGTGGGGAGGACCCTGAACCCCAGAATAATGGGCAGCCTTGCACGGTGCCATCACCTTGATGAAGTGCTTTTGGTTTCTGCTTTCAGTTTTGCACATGCAAAATGCAAAGTATGCCAGCACCAAGCAGGAGCCCATGGTCCCAAGCCCAGATCCTGACCCACCCCAGACTGTCCCCAAATCTCCGAGGCTGACCCAGCCCAGCCCTATCGCGGACCCACCAGGACATGGGCAGGAGACGGGACCAGGCCACGGCAGGCAGAAATCCTTTATTGTGCCAGCCCCGGAGGCTTCCACTCCTCTCTCAGTCTGCACTGCTCCCGCGGTGCTGCTCAGACCTCCGTCTTTTTCTTCATCTCCATGCGGTAGATGATCTGGTAGCCATCATCCCAGGCATAGAGCTGCCGCTCGCGTGGGTGGTACTTCATGCCCGAGTGGGAGCCATAGCGCTTGGGGGAATGTTTTGACCCTGCCTCTGTGGAAACGGCATCAATTTTCTGCAATAATCACCATTCCCACAGTTGTGTATCCCCAGGTTGTGGGATATCTGCAGCAGGAAGCTGCTGTGCCTGGTCCGAGCTCCAGATGTGGGAGTCCCTCTTCCCAGGGCTTCTTGCTCTGGCTGGGGGGGTGGGGAGGACCCTGAACCCCAGAATAATGGGCAGCCTTGCACGGTGCCATCACCTTGATGAAGTGCTTTTGGTTTCTGCTTTCAGTTTTGCACATGCAAAATGCAAAGTATGCCAGCACCAAGCAGGAGCCCATGGTCCCAAGCCCAGATCCTGACCCACCCCAGACTGTCCCCAAACCCAAATCTCCGATGCTGACCCAGACCAGCCCTATCGCGGACCCACCAGGACATGGGCAGGAGACGGGACCAGGCCATGGCAGGCAGAAATCCTTTATTGTGCCAGCCCCGGAGGCTTCCACTCCTCTCTCAGTCTGCACTGCTCCTGCGGTGCTGCTCAGACCTCCGTCTTTTTCTTCATCTCCATGCGGTAGATGATCTGGTAGCCATCATCCCAGGCATAGAGCTGCCGCTCGCGTGGGTGGTACTTCATGCCCGAGTGGGAGCCATAGCGCTTGGGGAAATAGACCAGGGCGGCATCCTCGGCAGCCAAAGTGCCACTGACGTCGAAGACACACTGGACACGGGAGCGGCTGGGCAGCCGCGTGTTGTAAACCACATGCAGTGTCCCACACACCACAAAGGCACCCTCGGCGTTCTCCCGTGGGCATGGTGTGTCCCACATCTGTTCGATGTCCAGTGAGTCGGGGTCCAGCTTGGCCAGGCAGATGTTCTTCTCATTCTCCTTGGTGGCATAGATGGCCCAGAGCCCCTCCTCATCTGCTGCCACCTCGATGTAGGTGGAAGGGGAGAGTCCGAACACGGGCACCTGCTCCTCGGCCGGAAACACCGAGCTGTCCACCACCGTCTTGTTCGCCAGGTTGAACTTGATCACCTGGAAGGGGCCTTGCTGGCGGATGTAGTAGAGGTGCCCGCTGTAGACCAGGTGCCCGGTGCCCACCCAGGGGTAGGGTAGCTTGATGCGGGCGGCCTTGCGTGTGGCCGAGAAGAGGGTGAACTCCCGCATGCGAGGGAAGACGTACACGGTGTCGTTTGCAGTGCCGTCAAAGACATAGATCTTCTCGGAGGTACCTGCCATGTCCTTGCTCCAGAGCCCCATGGCGCTGCCAAAGCGCTTCAGGATCTTCATGGACCGCACGCTAGCGATGGTGTCACTGCAGTCTGTGTGCACCGGCAGCTGTGAGTGTGGGGGAATGTGGCCCTGCCACCCCTGCCGCCCTGCGTGCCCCAGTCGTGCAAGCTCATGCAAACTGTGTGCGAGCAAGGAATAGGAGAAGCTGCCCAGGGCTCTGAAGTTCACGAGACCGTGGGGTTTGGGCTGGAGACACCCCAAAACGCCTCTGCCCAGCAGTCAGTGCCGCATGCGTGCCAGAGAGTCCCACATCCCACCCTGCACTAGTGCTTTGTGGCCGCTTACCTGTCACCTTGGCATACTTCTCATTCTTCCGCTGCTTGGCTGTGGCCACCTGCTTCTCCAGGAGGGTCTCGTCCACCTCCACGCAGGGCGGTGCGGGGTTCTGGGTCTCCAGGTAGTCCACCTCACGCTCCAGGCGGTCCACACGCACAGCTGCGCTCTCCGCCTCTGCCCGCAGCGCCTCCCGCTCCTTCTCTGCTGCCTCCAGCATCCCCAACACCTGGTTCTTGAAGTCCCGCAGCTCCGTGGAGTAGCGGCTGCTCTGGTCATGCCACTGCGAGATCCGCTCCTGTGCACCCAGGGGACATATAGGTCCCTGGGATGGGGCCACACGGTGCTCCTGCTCCGCACAGTGTCCTGTGGACCGCAGCTGCCCACAAGCACCTGTGTCTCATCATCATCCATGGTGGTGCCTGAGCACCATCCTGTTGTGCTCCTGCACCTATGATGCTCCCATACTTGTGATTTTTCCCATGCCCATGATGCTCCTGCCATGTTTCCACACTTGCTATGAACCCGCACTTGCCATGTTCCCATGCCCACAAAGCCCCTGCGCTTGCAACACTCCTGCACCCACGATAAGCCCGTACTTGCAATGTTCCTGTGCCCGTGGTGCTCCTGCACCCGCTATGCTCCCCAGTGAGTTGGGACCAGGCGGCCCGGTCCCTGCTCTGCTCCCATCGTGCTCGGCGACCTCCTGACCCACCTTGGCCCAGGGCAGCACCTGACATGGGCACCTACCTCGAGGAGTGCGAGGCGACGCTCCATATACTCCATGAACTGCTGCTGCTGGGCATGGGGGACGGCGGGCAGCAGCGCCAGGAGCAGCAGGCAGCAGCACCAGGGCCCCATGGCCGTCGGGTGGGAGTGGGCAGGCGGGCGCAGCACTTCCAGCTCAGCGCTCAGGAATGCTCCGGCCTCTCCAGCCCTTATTGGATCCAGATGGGAAGAGAGGGGAGGGCAGGCTGCTCCCTCCCCAGGCGCCTGGCCTCGGGCCCCTTAACTCCTTCGGCCTCGGAGCGCGGCAGAACCGTGGGTGGTGTGGGGCAGGGTGAGGGGTGGGTGGCACAGCTGGGCAAGGGTAGCGCATGGCATGGCGAGGGCAGCACCCCAGGGGCACGGGCAGGGCCAGGGCCCGGGCCAGCGCTGCAGGGTGTCCGCCAGTCCCAGGACAGAGCCAGGCCCTGCTTTCCCCGGTCTGGGCCACGCCGGCAGCGGTGCTGGCCGAACACGTGGCACCTACGGTGCCTGCTGCCCCTGGGCCACACTACGCACGAGGCTGCTGCCCACGGGGTGTCCAGGAGGGCAGCGCTCTGGATCATGCCTTGGGAGCAGCTCCAATGGGGCCTGAAGCACCCACGTCGACGTGCGGAGGCAGACAGGCTTATGGACATAGCAAAACTGGCAAAGAAATTCTTATTTTTGTGAACGCAGGATAGCCCTGACGCCCGTTTGCCTCCTGAGCCGCCAGCGCCATCTCGCTGGAAGCAGTTTGTCTGGAGCCTATGCTGACTCTGAGCAGCACAAACTGGCAGCTGCTGCTCATGTTTCACCCCAGATAAGTCAAAAACCCTTTTCCCATCCCCTTTAACAGACCAAGTGACCAAATGAATAGAGTACAGAAAATTAACCCTTTTTATTGATGCATTGCAATTGTTCTACATTTTTACCATATTATGTAGAAAATACTTAAAATACAAGCTACTTTGTAAAACCAAAGACAAACATTGAATCCAAAGATAAACTATGTTTCCACGATGGACCCTTTTCCCATATAGTTAGTATTAAATTTTAAATATCTATTTCTTTTGTTAAAATGATTTTTACATACCCCCTAAGTACATCAGCAATACAAACATAGATCAGTAATTGTCAGAAACTACCTGTATCTAGCGGCCTGTAAAAAGGAAGAGCACAACCATAAAAGAAAGTTAAATTTTACACAGTAACTAGCATATCAAATACATTTAATAAAGTAGGAATTCCATTGCAATATCAAGGATTCAAGCAGAAATACTAACATTACATATAATGTACTGCTACATGTAGTGAGATAGATATATTTCAAGCCAATCTGAAATCACACATTATATAAAGTTTAGCAACAAACAACCATGTGGACATGCGGCACCATTCAGAAGTTTAAATAAAAAAGCAGGGCTGTGCCAATCCTGTCATTTAGAAGCAATTTAGTTTCATGTCCCAAAGAAGATTGCTGCATCCTATGACCCGGGCGCACAGGGAGTCTGGGGACGTGCAGGGGCTGCTGCAGCTCAGGAAGCCGGAACGGCTCCAGTTCAACAGCCCATAACTCACGGACAAGTCTGGATGGGACCATGGTTATGGAAATTCAAAAAGCGAGCCCCAAACTGCATCTGTGGTTGACAACTTAGGAAAAACGAGAAGAGTTAGAGGACTTAAATTTCTATCTGAAGATAGCAAGTTGCTTAACAAAATCCGTGCAATGGCTCTGACGATGAGGCCACTTGATCTTTAACCTCTTTTGAAAGAACCTGGGTATGTATGAGGAGAAAGGTTGTATCTCCTTAGAGCAGGCCAGAAGAACCTAAATCACACAACACGCATGGGGCCAGGCTCAGATCCATCAAACTAGAGACAGAAATTTGGCCCCAATGGGTGGGATTTTGTTGGCTTATTTTATGCTGTGTATCCCAGAGGAATTTCAGGGCAACCAAAGACTTTTCAAATGGAGTGTTTCATCTTATCCACATCACTTCCACCTTGTTCCAATAGTTTTGGAAACGTAGACAGTAGAGGGCATGATGCAAATAACGCTTGGCTGGTTTGCAGGTAACAGGGAATCTAAAGATAGAGAGGCATTTTAGTCTTCCTCTGCTTTGAAAGAGTGGAGTGGAAGGGAGTTTTTCTCCAACCTATTAGCATGTCTTGCTAGAAATCTTTATTTTTCTGAAACCCAGGAATTGGAACTTTTTTGCCTTTTGATGGAAAGGCACAACTCTGTACCCAAGAGGTATCTCAAGGTAAAGTACTGAACACAAGCAATGTAGTATGGAAAAAAGTAGGAAAGTGCTTACAGCAACCAACAGCATCGCTTACATCAGTGATGTGAAACACCGAGATTAGCTAGATACCCTCACATTTACAGAAGTGCTCTGACTAAAAATACACTGAACAACACGTCACTAACGCTACCGTCCAGCTCCAAAGTCCTTGTTTCCTCTAATGAAAGAGATGCAAACCTTGAGCAGTTCCTCAGTTCCAGATTCCATCCAAACTTTCCCCTATCGATAATGTGGAATTTCAGAACAGGACTTTGCACCTCTTGCCAGACATCAGTCAGAGAACTGGCCTGTTCCCAACTGGACAGAGCATAAACTGTGTTTCAAGGTTACCAAAACCTCTTATTGCTGCAGTACTTTACGGCTCAAGACAGTTCATTACCCTTTCGGACAAGATACGCACCTACATACCGACATAGTACAGGGGACCAAGAAAACAAAGTTTAGTTTAAAAACTGCACTGATTATCGAAACTGATTATCTCCTCTGAACACTAACTAGTGCTACAGCTGACAAACCTTCCCAGCAACTCCACATTAGCAGTTGCATTACAGAACTTTTCAAATGGTATCATGTGCTTTACAGCAGGCTCTCTTTGGTATAAATATTCTATCACCGAGCTAGCAATATTTTACAAGAAATGTCTGCTATTAACATGGGGGAAGATAACACCATACTAATCTAGTAAAAAGTGATTGCACATATTTAATCACTTCTGCAATATTAGACTAAACATTCCAATGCATTCCCAGCACTACCCTATTCGAAATGCACTGACAGACATCTAACAGTACATGTGCCAGTTCAAGGAAAAGCTTTAAGGGAATATCGCTTCACTCCAAACAAAAATGTAGCTTTTTATGACAGCATTAAAACCGAGAACAATGCACCTATGCAACATACTGCTCTTCTTGTTGTGATAAGCTTAGTGAATTGCTTCAATTCGACGGGGGCTTGCTGGTCCCTCATAAGGCAAGCTCACTGTAAACTCTATTCACACTACATAATCATTTAAGGCACTACAATAAGGGGACACACCAAACAACTCTTCATCACACATACCTGTGCAAAACAAATCCGAAGGTATCCTTTTCTCTCATGAAGCTCTACTCCTCTCTCAGTGCTACAGTGATGAGCTCTAACCATTGCATTATATCACATACATTCCAACGTGTATCAATTCATTTTGGTTTAAACACAAAGAATACATCAATTCCATCCCCAGGAACGTTTAAGAATTAGACAAACACTAAGTACAGAGTTCAAGTATAATCACTACACATTCTGATTACAAAGACAAACATTTGGGGTTAGCAGGAAGTTTTGCTTGTTATATTTTCTAATCAATATGTACATATTTCATTTTATGTAAAATATTAAAACACCACCAATACAAAACTTCTAAAATAGTTTTAAATTCAGTAATAAACTTTAAAATCTGGATTTTTTTTCTTTTTTTTTTTTTTCAATTCCTACATGCACGTACTGTATACAAGTCTTAATAAGAGCGCTTTAAAGAAGCTGTTGACATATCCAGGAGGATACGTTCACAGGAGTATAAAAAGCTGTACACATCAATACAGTGATGTTTCATTGCATTTCAATTGTTCAACTTCCTCCTAAATTAATCATATGTGGAAAAAATACTAAGGAAAAAAAAAAAAGGAACAAAGAAAAGCCCTGTGCTTTCACGAAGGAATCCAGCTCCATTATAGGACCAGCATCTAATATGCTGCAGAAACCGAATTTCAACGCAATGCAGCCTTTCATTCTCAATGAGGAGCACAGCATTTTCGCAAAGCTGCTGATTTCTGTTACACAGTGACATCTTGATTATAGTTTGAAAAGCTTAAAACATGTAATAATTAGAATTCAGCTGTGGTGTAGAAACACAGAATTTTCAAGAAAACAAAACAGATTTCAGGGTTTACATAGACTCCTGAATATTTGTTACTAGCACAAGGCAGCTGCTTCTATCAGTCCTTAAACAAAGCAGAGAAGTAAACAAAAATTTTGACAATCACGTATAAAGAGATGTAATGCCTTTTGCAGAACCAGCAATTTGTTAGAGAGAAAGTGAAAACAGAGAACAAATGTTAAAATATTAAATTTGATTTTAAACTGCCCTAGCAATGTTCTGAGAAAAATATGCATTGTATTTTTGTGGCAATATGGATTTGTGCAAGCTGCTAAAATATAACCTATTAGGTTTTTGTTTAAATTAAGCTAATGAAAAAAATCATCAGAATACTTCAAGACACTGATTTTTCTTTTTCCTTTTGATTAGCATAACTGAACAATTTTAAATAAATGGGAATATGATTTTTTAAAAAAGCATCTATAAAAAGTAAGTAAAATCTTAAAAACTTAATTAGCAACCTCCATACTGGTAACAAAGCATGGTGCACAGTTAGTGACTGAACTCATGAGACAATTCTGAACAACACACAACCAGATCAGGGAGAAACAAACCCCAGGCAGTCATCACCAGGTAAAGGTTCACCTGAAATCCTTTTCCAAACTCTCTGGCCTGTTGCAGGACAGTGCTCTACTGTGATCTACAAGTACGAGTACTGGTTGATCTTTGTAGGGCTCAGCGGATATCCAGTGTAAATTGCAGATCCTCTGGAAGCACCAATATAGGACTGGGGAGCAAACTGGTGTTGGTACTGGGCGGGCGGGACGTTTGCAGAGGTCAGCAGACTTGGACCAACACTCACGGGGACCTGATGGACGAGCGTGCTGGGGTGGGCATACGTGGTGTGCCGTGAAGAGCCCTGAGGGGAGAAGAGATGCGCGATGGACGTGGTGGAGCCCAGCGTGGCCGCAGTGGTTGGAGCGTAAGTGTACATATGTGGCTGGCTGGACAGATGCGCGTTTGCTGTTGCTGCCGCCAAATGGGGATGCACCGGGCTGCTGTGCTGAAACGGGTAGGGAGCCTGAGAAATAGTTGATGTGAGGGGAGCCACATAAGCCTGCTGCCTACGTGAGACTGCATTTCCGTTTCTCTCCTGCGAGGCCAGCACTGTTGTTTGCTGGTTCTGCAAAGAAGTAAATGAGGTTAGTAGGTGTTCTCAGGACAAAGCCCAGTGGAGAGGAGTAGAGTGAGGAAGGGTTCAAACAGAGCCTCCCAATCAACACCTGTATTCTAGTTGCAGGATTGACTGGTACTTCTGTCAGATCTTCCCTTCCATGAAGTCAAGACACCTGCAGCTCTCTGATACCCTCAAGTGAATTCAAGAACGGTTAAATGTAGTTACAGAATCAGATTACTCTCCCTCCTGATGGGCTACACCTGGGATTCCAGAGTGCACAGGCAGTTCCTGAACACAACACTTACCTGACTGAGATTGAGGGGCTGCATGCCATTCGTCACCACACGATGCGATCGGTACCCAGTAGGTGTTATACAGCAACCTGATGATTGCCCACTCACAGAGGCCACTGGCTTGGTCTTACTGGTACTGCTCAGGACACCTGAAAGATTTCAACAGATTAGCCCATTCTTCCATCTCGCACCCTCTGTGCAGTGATAACCAGCTTAGGTAACTCAAGAATACACAGGAGTTATTTCTATGACAGGGCTGTTTCTTGGACTACAATTTAAAATCTGATTGAAGAAGAAATCAATGGGAATTTTTACAGTGGGAATTTATTTGTAAATACAGCCTAACACATATATGAAAGGTAATGCACCAGTGAATCTGAAAGCACCAAAGTTCATGATCTCAAAACACCAGCTGTGAAACCTGAAGTTGCTGGAAGCCTAATGCAAATTGTCCAAAACTATCAGGGATAAGACAGCATCTGTGGCAAATGTCACAAAGCAACCTGTGAGAATATAACCTACCTGAAGCCTGGGTAGCTACAATGCAGTCATTAAGCTGTGTTTTCAACGGTGGCACAATGATAGTCCGAGAGCTGGAGCTATCAGCTGCTCCCCTGCTAGGCAGCTCCAGGACACCACTTGTACTCCTGAGAGAGGAAAGTGGGTCTGCAGCATAGGGGCTGTTCAGAGAGGAGTCGGAATCGGGGGAGTCATTAAGAGTAACATAGCTGATGACATTGGACCTCTGCTTCATGCCCAAACTGCAGGAAAAACAACATCAATAAAAACACAGAAGCATTTTAGCTTTTCTCACAAGACATATGGAGATCTCCCTGTGGTATCTCACACCCTCCTACTTTATGAATGAGATTCTGGTTAATAGAAAAACAAACACCACAGTGGACAGGATACAGAATTCTCTGTCTTACGCAGTGTTTCTTAGCATAGCCAGGGCTCTGTATATAGTGCTCTCCAAACTTCTGGGTGCCCAGTCTGAGCTTAAGACAAATCAATACAGGCTTCCTAAATGAACTTCCTACCTGGCAGGTTTGTATTTGCTGTCCTCCTCTTCATCAGTGTCGCTGCGAATGGTGATGACACTGACAGGAGGGCTTGGAGTGTCTGGGATAACAATGGGCTGGTGCTGCTCCTGCACTGGGACAAGGACGTTGGAGGAAGAGGAGGTGGAGCGCAGAGGACTGCTTCCAATGAGCGAGTAAACTTGGGAGGGCACAGTCTCTAGAGTTGAGCTGGACCTGGAGAAAACCAAGGCAGTATTCAGCTGGAGCTCAGCAGCACGGGACACACAAATCAGCAGCATTAAGAACAGACAGGCTCCAGAGCACACAGACAAAAAGAAACGTCTTGAAACACACACGGAGAACATCTGTGCAGACTCCTTCATGGAATTAAATTCCTACACATCCAAGACAGGATCCGTGCAGCCAGTGATGCTCTGAGCAGAACTGATTCATCTGCACTGTGGGAAACCTGCCACCCCGTTAGTCAGGTTTCAGTTCTATAACTTGCATTGCTATAACACCAACAGGCCCTGAATGTGCAAAACCTCCCTACAACCAATAAAACACTTGGTCAGTCACACTCCTGATTCAGCTTGCTTACTTGGCTGAGCTTGGTGCTGGCTGTTTGTTCTTCTTTGCTGCAACATTGCTGCTTTGCTGCTGTCTCACAACATGAGCAACTCCAACATTCAGGGGCTGTGTTGTAGCTAAAGTCACATGGTTGGTCAGCAGTGATGGCTGTTGCATGAGTGCGCTGTACTGATTTCCATGGGAATGTGCGTTCCTGGGGCAGGAAGGGAAAAAAGAGACACCCCGACCCTGTGACAACACTGCAGGCACTGCAAGCTGCCCCCAACAGCATAAAGCTGCCTTACAGTTCTGAAGGGTAAAGTTCTGTGCACGGCACACTGCACTTCTCACATTTCTATGGGACACAGCACCCACCTCCAGTCGGCTAACTGCTGGCTGCCGCCGATCGCCTCCGGAATCACAGCTGTTGGCTGAACGGAGTTGTGCAGAGCAACCCCTGGGAGCTGCTGCCAAGTGGAAGGAAGCAGTATCTGCTGGGTTCCCCCAGGCCAGGCTTGCTGCAAAACAGCAAACAGAGAAACAGATTCACTAGATTTTGGTTCCTACAGACAGGGGAGAAAAAGAGACTTGTTCCAGGCAATAAATTGACTTGTGTAGATTGTTAACTTGCAGAGATAAAGATGCATCACTTCCTCAAACAGTCTCAGCCCAGCAAGAGAACAGGAAAACCAGAGAAAGAAGATTCCCTGATTGTGGGGTTGTCCCTAACTTTTTGTGTCATAGATGTCACCCAGGGAAGAGGGTGGTGTTAATATTGTACTGCAGAAAGAGTGCCTGAAAAAGAGGAGGCAAGATTAGCCTGCATGCCAGGCACACTAGGGTGTTCAGGAATGTTTTTTATGTAACTTTATGCACACTGCCTTGCTGAAAAATTCCGGAATATGATGCCGATTTAGTTATTTCTGCTTTTCTGGATTACAGGATTCAGTTCAAGATAGCTGAGACAGTGTTATTATTACAGAAATTCACTCAAGCTCAATTAAATCACTGAAGCAGAAAATGTAATCAGTACATTAAGGAAAGGTGCATCGAGAGACCTGTTTGGTTACCCAACAGATGTACAAAACTAGTTTCGGTTAATTAAGGTCACTAACTTTCCTCTACAAATTGATGAAATGCAACATTTTCTGGGAAAAAAAAAAAAGCTCTGCAGTACAATATTTCTTTGATTTTGAACACATAAGACTCTCTTTCTTGCAGTTTAAATTGCGAAACCATTAACACCCACTGTCTTAAACAAAATATTTCTGCAAGTAACAGACCTACTTATTACAAAACTGGTTCCAAAACAAGAGGCCTTCAAAGCACAGAACTGCTAAAACCTCTGCCAACATAAGCAGAATAATAATAATGAACAAATAAAAAGAGAGAAATATGTTAAAAGTCACACCATGCGTCTTTCCAAAAGCTAACACCTGCACAAGACAAAGCAGAGAGTTTAATACAGCAAGACCTAAATTCCCAACGAGAGGCAGAAACCGGGCCTTCCAAGCGACGAACTGTTTTGACAGAGGAAGGACAAAAATACGCAAAGCTTAGCAAATGGCTAATGCAAACTCAGGGAAAGCAGCAGGGGAGAAGTGTTGGAAGCACTAAAGGTGAGCAAATTCACGCCAAAGGCTCCCAGAATCCAAACAGAAATAGTGAGTTCTCCATAGAACACAATGCTGTTATATAAACTCAGAATCCAGGCACATTGTTTAGGGACAGCTGGCTCTGATCTCCTGTTGCTGCACAGGGGAGCTGAATGCCAGACCCGCTGCACATGCACAGGAGAACAGATCTAATTTGACTGTTGAATCAAAAGCCCAAATAGACTTTTCAAAACATCACTGATAACTCATTTGTGTCCCAAGCTCTGCTACAGTCACCCTTGCCATTTTCAGAACCTAAACTCCAGCCTTTCAGCAATCAAAATTCACGAGGAGGAAAGGAGATACATCCCTGGGTCTTTTTAGCTTGGAGTTGTGACCCAGGAGAACCCATTCTCCTGCCCTCAGAAACAGGGAGAGGTTAACTCAGAAGAACTCATATGAGAGGGTTTTAATCCCATCCTCATCCAGTATGGCTCGAGCAAATTCCGCTTCAGGAGAGGTTTCCATCTTGGAAGAAAATGACACTCATGCTACCACTTTAAAGCCACAAGAAACAAAATGGTTCATATAAGAAATGGAATGTGCTTTGGAAGACACGTGAGGATACAGTACTTAAGTGCACTGCAATGTTTTCATAAGCTTCACTGATCTGATTCTGGAGTTTTACAACAACTTCCTTGTGGCACTTGCAAAGCTGTTCTGAGGCAAGTGCCAGATGAATACAGGAAAGGACAATTTCGAAAACATACACTTTAAAAGACGTGTTTATTCCCATCCCCCATCCTTTTAATTGTTTGAATGATAACTAGCTATTCTAGAAACTAAAGTCCACCTTTAATTTCAGCCAAGAAATACAGTAAGAACTGAAAGTATCTGTGAAGAACAGTATTTTTATCTGGATGACGCAAGCTACCTGTGATTGACTATAAATGAAGGCCAAAAAAACACTGTCAATGTCAACAGAGGCTAAGAGAAATTGACTGCTAAAAACAATAAACTAAAAAAATTGCTATTATAGAGATTTAGTCTGTGCTTAATGACCTGAAATATTTCTACACTCAAAGAAGATTTATAAGTCTTTAAAACAAAATATGCAGCTAACTTGCCAAGTAGTTCAAATTCTGGTCATCCAGGTACCTGTAGCAGAGTCAAGCTAGAGGTTGATTCCTTTATATTCAATAATCAAAGGCAAAGATAAGATAGTAAGTGAAGAACAAGAACTATTATAACTCTTCCATAGTCTAGCTTAGAAGAGCTTTATAATACTAGGCTAGTAAAAAATAATAGTCAATGGATCTGGATTCTTTACAGAGCCACACTAAACATCAGAGTCAGACAGTGCTTCAGCAATGTTGGGGAGGAAAACAACAAGACATTAAGATGTAGCAAGAACACAGCCACAAGATGGCACATGCTTCCATGCCTTCTGCAAGTCTAAGTTAAAACAAAAACTCAGTTAGTGAACACAATCAAGGAGGCAATTACCAGTACTGCAGCCGTCTGTTCTACTAGCGCTGGCCGGCCGGCTGCGCAGTTCAGAGTAAAGGGGACCGCATACTGCGGCGTGATGGTGGCTACTTGAGGATGAAGAGTTGCTACCATTAGTGGTGTACAGCTTCCCTGAAACGTAGATCAGGCAGTGAGTGAAACAAATGTACCGAGGCAGGTAAGTGGGTTCAGCAATAGGGACAGAAAGGGCTTCACCACCCTGGCATTTTATGGTGCTTGAGCAGATTCCGGTATTGTAATGGATGCAATGAAACTGATACTCTGGCCACGTTCCTCTAAGCAATCACATATCCTTGAGGGGAACCCAGGAACCAGGGGATTTGGGAACATGGTCTTTCCAATGGCTCAGTTAAAAAAAAAAAAAAAAAAAAAAAAAGAAAACAAGCTAGTGTTCAAGTATTACCGTACTCTGCTCACAACAAGTTCCAGAGAGAAAGTTACACTGTCTCTTACATATGCTGCACAAAGCTGTAACACAACCTTCACCCTTAGCAGGACACAGCATTCAATACTGTACCTCAAAATCAGGTACAGTACTCTTGGAAAGAGATAAAACAAGGAATTTAACACAAGGCACCACAGGTCTTTTGCAACATTGAAGAGCATGGTTATATGTGATGAAATTACCAAGACATGTATTAATCCATCAAATGTCTAATTAAAAACTAGATTCTTAGTGTACAGTCTGCACAGATGAGATTATAACATGAATCATCTGTATTGCCACTTCTCCTTACTGAGATCACTTCTTAAAGAACTGATGTAATCTCTTTTTTAAAAAAAAATCTTAAGAGGTAGGCAAAAATGTACACTGTCACCTCTAAGGCAATATAGACCAGCAGACCTTTGAGAGTATTCCGAGAACTGATCTGCACTCACCCCCAGCACCACACTGCGAGCCAAATTCTCCTGGACGGTGGTAGGGACTGCGGTTAACAAGGGTTTTTTGTTTGTTTGATTGTTGTTGCCTTTTTTTTTTTTTTTTTACCTGTGTAAGAACTCCAGACTGGATCTGCAGTGGCTGTGCTGCAGGTGCTTGGGGTACAATTGGGACAGCATTCTCCACCCTTACTGGGAACCCAGAGTGCTTTGTAGTTGCCTGAAGTCCAGCTGTTAGGAGCAAGAACAAAATATAGTTAAGACGCTTTATTATTCCCCACCCCAAAATCCAATTCCTACCAGGTAATCAGGAAGGATGAAAGACAAGGTCAGATAAAAAGAAAAGCTGTTCCCTTTGACAAAAGCCCTTAATAAAACACCAGCTGGAGTAAATATATCTCCAGTCCCAAAATGCCAAAGCACAATGATGGATAATCAGTTTTCCAACACTTGGCCGTGGTCAGGTCTGCAGTCTTGTTTCCAGATAGAAGTCCTTTACACTTAGACATCCAACACTGTGTTGCTTGAGGCTAAGCACAAACCTTAGGCCATCAGTTCCTGTTTCACATAAAACAGTCCACACTAACACAATCCAGATAAATAAGTAAATAACAGAACTTTCTTGCATTAACACAGATATGCTCATGCTACCTTTATTAGGTGCAATCTGGGATTGTTTACTGCTTCTTAGAAAACTACACAATTACAGCTCTGCTTGTGAACTGAGACTCAAAGAGTAGATATTCGCTCTTGACATTCAAAATATAGCACGTATTTTCTCATTTTTAGGTAGGTCTCACTCTTCTCTTCATTGCTTTCTGAGGAATGTTGTTGTGTTCAGTTTGGGGGGAAAAACTGGTTGAGCAACTGGATGAAAACTGCAACCTAGGCGGGCAAGATATTGTCACCTGTTCAAGCACAACGTGAAAGAGAACCAAATTGTCTACGCACATCTGACCTGATTTTGCACTCACACCTGATGCAAGACTACAGCACGACACACAGAGGGTGTTCTGTTGTAGTTCTCAATTTAGTCCAGACCACAACATCCCCCTTTTATCAGATTGAAACTACAGTTCCAAAAGGTTTTTTCTACTTACTTTGAAAAGCAGGGGGACAGACAATGAATGTTTGCTGGAACGGGTCAGTCTGTGTGCAGATCTGGGTGGTTCCAGGCTGCAAGGAAACACTCTGTTGTGCCACTCCTGCAACTGGTGCGGCAGATGATGGATACAGAGCAGACTGATAGTTTAGCAGCGAGACATCCG